ATACAAAGTAAAAATATCGCTCCTCCTCCGCAATTGGTTAGGCCTTCTACTCTCAATCCCCTTAATGTCGCAAGCTCATGAAGAGCACGTACGTTCGTTAGACTTTATTTTCTAGAACCTCAACCTCGAATGACAGCGAATCGGCAAAGTAGGTAACGCTCTTACATAAAAGAAGAAGAAAAGAAAGAAAGAAAGAAAGAAAGAAAGAAAGAAAGAAAGAAAGAAAAATAAACCCCCTCAAAACGGCCTAGCAACCTTCCTCCCCTCCCTCTTCCCACTCCTCCCATCAACCATCTCCCTCCAGCTAACCGGCACAAGCACATTCCCCTCCTCACTCCTCCCCATAACAACACCCAGGTCATTCCTCGCCGTCGAGCAGTAGTAAAAGCTCTGATCGCCCAGCGAAATCACCACGGCCCGCACAATGTCGCCGACGCGGAACATCTCGTCCATCACGACGCGGTCCTTCTCCACGGCCCGCACATCTTCTTTGCGGATTAGGGCTTGGAAGCGGAGGTCGTCGGCGTTGAGGGGGTCGGCGTTCGTGGTGGAGAGAAGGGAGTGGGGCAGCCCGTCGGCGGCGGCGGTGGTGGCGGGGTAGGGGGAGGAAGGGTTGTCGTCCAGGACGACGAGGATGGAGAGGGTTGCTTGGCGCTTCTGGACGCGGGTGACGCGAGCAAGGACGACGGAGTCTACGGTGGGGAGTGTGTTATATTTGTATTTTTTGTGTCTTTTCGTCGTTGAGGGTGTGGTTGCGGAAGATGTTGTGTTTGGAGGCCTTTGCGGCTGTTGTTGTTGTACATAGTTCGTGCTGCCGCTGCTCGTAGGATTATTCCCAGTCACAGCTGTGTAATTCCCCGCAACCGTTTGCGTCTGCGCAAAGGATCGTGCGACCGATACAAGTGTTCTTTGCTGTTTACTAATTGGTTGTTGCTGGTATTGTCTCGACAACTCCTCCTCCCCCTTTTGTATAACGACCGGGCCGGCTATCGAGGCGCAGACAAAAGAATGTTGGATGTGGGTTCCAGGGCCCGGAATGAACGATGATGTGGGACCAAGCCGCTGGCCTGGGACGGCAATCGATGGAACAGAGCCCGTGGCCGTCATGTAAAATTGTTTCTTCGTTTTGATGGGGAAAACGCGGGTGTGTTATCTTGCGTGAAGCTAAGGCAAAAGCTCTAACGATCGCTGGCTGGCAGGAAGCAAAAGAGGCTAGAACACTCAAGAGAAAATCCCCCAATTGAAAAATTCTTGTTACTCCTTCAGGGCGATTTTCTTATAGGAGGGGATGTGGGTGGTTTTAAAGGCCAGCGCATACAAATTTTCGATGGTAATTCGGGCCTTTTTTTTTTTTTTTTTTTTTTGAGACTGAGAGCGGCTACCATAGACGCGCGTCTAATGCTATGGAGCATGCGGGAGATGATATCATCCCTTCCAGAGCTTTGACAGCTTCAGATTCATGTAAAGACGAGGGATTGTGACAGCTTCAACAAGGGACATAACAATCCTCATCTCATAAGTACCCGTACATAGAATGTAATGCATTGCTCATATCCACTGTCTCTGCATTTTTGAATAACAAATGTATAGATACTAGCTGTCCTATGAATAATAACACACAGATTATCTCGCCCTTTTCAGCACGTCACATCCCTTTCATCAGAGAGCTCTTACTAACTACTAACTACAAACAGCAATATCCTTCTCTCTCTCCCTTTCCCATTCTCACTATATACCTCATTCGCTAATAAAAAGAAACTAATTATATAATGCATGGAGCGTATCGGAACATGCTTATGCTACCCACTCATCTCAATAACAGCCAGGGGTCATCATCTCCTGCTGGAACCTTTTCACAAGCTAATACTAATTCACCATTATCATCAGTGGAATGGAGACGGAAGAAAGTAAAGGTATAAAGGTGAATACAAAACAGAAACAAATAGGACAATAGAACAAGGAAAAAGAAAAAGAAAAAGGACACAGAAGAAAAACGATATACCAAAGGGAATATGTGTAAAAAGAAGAGCGAAAAAAAGGATAAGAAAAATGAAAAATATAAAAACTGATCGGCGTAGGCAGACAAGAAAGAATACAAGAAGAGAGAACCTCTTCCAAGAGCCAGTATTGGCTCTTGTCTTGAACAAACGTAACAGGAGAGCGGAGGGAAAGAAACATGGGCACAAGGAGAGTAGAAAGCACAAACACAAAACGAAAAAAATATATATATCCGATAGAGGGTTGATTAAACCCCCATAGAACAAACGTAAAACAAAAACAAAAGCCACCAAACACAAGCAATATGCCCTCGCGGAACTCCTTGCGAGATGGAAAACATGAGTAGCGGGCGGAATAAACACTATTAGGGAAAAGATATATGGTGATGTCGAAAATACCACAATACCGTGATCACCACACTACCAATGAAGCTAGACAAGGAAGCCAATCAATGCTCAACCTTCAACGAGTATTTGTTTAGGCCCCTGGCCAAGCAACTCCAGTGACCGTCGCGCCAAAGCGACAACCTCACCTTCATCATCCTCACCGCCTTCTTCATCGTCAGATTCGACATTCTTATCAGCAATCGCCTTAACCATATCAACAATATCTTCTGAGCGAGTAATATAGCCTTGCAACCGCTTATCTTCGGATTCAAGGAGCTGGAGCAGAGTCCAGATTGCGATGTGCTGGAAAGTTGGGTCACCACTCGCCAGAAACCGGCTTAGGTATCCGTGAATGCCGCCGTTCGGCTCTGACCAATCTCTCACGAATATAGAGTAGTCACCAACTAGCTTGATTTAGTTTCCATCTTTTTTATATTGTAGATATAAATTGAGTGATTAAGCAAGATATACTAACCTTTGGAAGACAAGTTCCCCAACGCAGCAGCGCTATTTCCTTGCACTTCTATGCTTTCTGAATCCGTCAGAGGAATCAAAACGTCAAAAACGCCGAGTTTTAGAAGGTGCGATTTCAGCTCGTCACTAAGTGCGAGAACTGCAATTGCAGCCGTCATCTCAGACTGCACGCTCATGGGCACTTTCAAAACAAGTTCCTTGCATTTCTGCACGGCGCCTGCTTGAAAGGACTAGCTCCTTATTGCGATCTGAACTAGCCGCCAAATTCCGTAGGGGTGGAAATGGGCGTGGCACTGAATTTTCTCATTGTCTATCGACTGAGTAGATCCACGAGTTGGTTTTAAGAATCTCCGCGTCAATAATTGGAGACTCGTGTGGGGGATGTATAGAAATATTTTCGGATGCATGCACTGCCTGAGAGGATGAGGGGGGAGTGATGATGATGGAAGCAACCTGAGTAATGGTGCAAGGCCTCGCGCACGGACTATCTCAAGTTGATATTTCTCATCGGAGGCAAGATTTCTCAGGGCCAGGGCAGCTTGGCATTGTACTTTGGGAGTGGAAGAGTCCATGAGCTGGACGAGGGATTGAACAAGGCGGGACTCTGTTTGCGCGAGCTTCTTTCTGTTGTCTGAATCCACTGCAATATTGCTAAGCGCTGTTGTACAGTAGTACTGAACATCGACATCGGAGGAAGAGAGTAGTTGCACTAAAACAGGTATGGCACCGGCGATGACGAGTTGCTGTCGATTTTCATCTAGAATCAAGAAGAAAAACGAAAGATATTAGACTATTGTATGGGCCACCTTTGTGTGCATTTTTTTGCATCAATAATAATAAATAGGCATACCGGAATGGGTCATGTTTAGTAGGGCCCCGGTGGCATTCCGTTGTACACGCATGTCTTTTGATTTCGCCAGTCTTGTCAAAGGCCCAAGAGCACCTGATCGCGCAATTTTGGCTTTGTTATCTTCGTGGGTGGCTAGGTTGGTGATGCACCCGACGGCATTGCATTGTACTTCGACATTTGGTGACATCATTTGCCGTATTAGAGGAGCCAGCCCCCCAAGCAGGACGATGTTGACCTTGTTTTCCGCTACAATATGGTGAGCTTCTCGGTGTGAAGGAAGGGGGAGAGAGTCATTATATGACCATACGTACTATTGACAGCGAGATTCCCCAAGGCTGCGCTCGCCGCTCGTTGTACTTCGATATCGGGGCTCTGGAGGAGGAATAGAATAGGTTCAAGGGTTTCTCTATTGACTTCCCGGACATCTAAACCACAAAAGGGCTAACTCAGTATATGAAGCAAGGAGGCATCAACCCCACAAGGTCTTCCCGGATAGGGACAGACGAACCTCTTTCCGTGATCTCAGCGAACGTTAAGCTAGCACTTCGTTGGAGATCAACATTGTCTGAGTATACGAGGGTGCTAAGAGCACTGAGTGGCTCTCCACTGAAGAAATCGGTTTCATTTCGCTAGTATTGATGTAGATATCAGTATGGCAATAAATGAAATGGTGCTGTAGCGAGCGATAGAAGGCCGATGGGGAGGCGGGGGTTGTGGGAAGAGAAGTGTCAGTAAACATACGTTCTCGAGATACTGGAGCAAATCAGCGACAGCTTCGCGTTCGTTATCAGCCAGGATGGGTTCGTAGAGACCATCCCTAGATCGACCTTTGATGGGAGCCAGTAAATAAGATATACGGCACCATCTATCGATATTGGAGTAGGTACCTGTTAGGCAGGCCAAGCAAGCATTCCCCATCTCTCTCGCGCACGATGGACCAGTCCCCAAGAGACCAGATGGATCCTCTGGAGATGACTGGCCAGAAAGGGGAGCAGCTTGGAGACGGCGAGGCGAGCTGTAGCCGCGGTAGGATTTCTATTTTTATTTATTTCTTTATGTAAATATTTACGTTCGCTTCGATAATATCGCTCCCACGGGATTGGATGCTGGAAAGGAGCACGGAGCGGAGGCGGGACGAGAGAAGCAACTGGGTCGGTTGATATGAAACCAGCGGCCGGCAGGCTTTGGAAGACTGTGGAAGACCTTGGACTTCCAGGTCTTTGTGGGAGGGGATCGACTGGCTAGGCGCCCGGGAACCTGAAGAAGATGCTGTGGGGGGGAGGCAGGAAAGGCGCGTGATTGGGGTAGGGTAGCGCAAGCAGCATGAGGGAAGAAGAGAGAGGGTGTGTGGAGGAAGGGCGGGCGGGAGGGAGATGAATGGTGAATGTGGGCAGTAGCAGAGATAGTCTTGTGATTGGAGCAGAACAGAACAGGGTCTATGTCATGGGAGATGGCGGTGGTTAATGCCGACTTGGCTTCAAGTTGGGATGTTGGATGTTGTCGAGGAGATGCAAGAGCTGGAGGTGACGGAGGAGGAATCGGCGACTGGACGGGAAGCCACCAATCACAGCGCGGGCGGGAAGCCGCACACCAGACAGCTTTGGATGTGTGTCTGCGTCTGTGTCTGTGTCTGCGTCTGTGGCGAGGAACGAGGGACTGCACCAGATCGCATACAACTATGGTGTATTATGCATTTCGAATTTTTATTCTGGATGGTAGTTATTTACTCCTCACCTTCCCTGCCTGACGGTGTTGCTGAATCATGTGGTGTGTTCGCGCTCTCTCCCTCCACGCCAGGCGGCTATGCCTAACGAGTAGTTAACTTAAATAAAGATAACCGTTAACTAACTAGTTAAACGATCGAGTCAATCAAATACATTCCGCGATGCCCTCGACTTGATAACCAGTGCTAAGACCTCCGTTTATTCAACAGGCGTGTTATTGGTTCGGTCGACCAGTCGCCCAGCCAGCATTAGTCCAGAGCTGCCAGCCTTGAAATCTCTCTGCCTATCAGCAAGGGCCCCTGCGATGCACGAAACTCGGAACTCCATCCAAGACACAAAATCTATCAGCCATCTGCTCCCGGTGGCGGACATTTGATTCCCTTGGCCCAAGTCTGCCACTTCTCTATCCTTGAAAATTTAACTGGCGTTACGACTTGAAACGATCAGAGCCTGCGTCATATGGATCTTGTGTATAAAGAACGAAGCAGAGTAGAAGAAGTAGAAGAAACGATGAGAACTGTTGACGACGAAACCGTCATTCATCAACATCCACGGTAATCAACCTCCTGTCAAGAATTACATGTCTACTACAAATATATTTTGTACCGTTACCAAAGAATTCCAAGTCACACAGCTCTCCCCTGTAACTGTTAAGATAATAGCGCTCTCCATTGGTTTTCCACTAGTTATTTTTAAAACAAGGCAAGAAAGTCTCCCAAGATAATTTCCAGGATTTTGCAGAATCCAGCTGTCATGTCGTCTGGCAGTGCCGTGGAAACCGAATTTAATTAACGGAAACTCGACATGACTTTGTCAGTCTCTCTATATTTTAAATTTGTATGGCGCAAAACTGTTTTATAGGCGGGAGTTGATGATATCGATGACTGTTTGTCTTGGCGTTAGTAAATATAACAACATGTTGGCCATGGCATGCCAGAAGAGGGCGATGGAAGGAACAACAAAAGTTGAAGATAATAAAATAACATACAGGCTGGCTTCAAGCTAGCCCCTCCAACCAAGAATCCATCAACATCCGGCTGCTGTGCCAGATCCCTGCAGTTCTTTTCCGTAACGCTTCCTCCATAGATCACACGGACATTCTCTGCGGTATCGGTGGAGATCTTGTCACCCAGCCACTTGCGGATCGAAGCATGGACTTCCTGTGCCTGTTCCGTGGTAGCAACCTTGCCCGTTCCAATAGCCCTGTAGGAATTGAAAGAAAATGCCATCAGCATGGTTGGTTTGTTTTTTGAAAATTTTGCAAAACGATCAAGAGGGTGTGAAGTAAGTAGTTGGGTAACGCGATATGGAGCGTGAACTCAGTACCAGATTGGTTCATAGGCAATAACGACCTTCGGCCAGTCCCGAGAAGAAAGCCTCTCGGCAACAGCGTTCAATTGGCGTGTCACAACATCCAAGGTCTTGCCAGCTTCGCGTTCCTACATACGGAAAAATTCTGACGTCAGTTCCCGCCGATAAAAATAAACCTCTATTTTGTTTCTTGTCTTCAAAGCGGTAGAAATCCCGAAAAGACACAGACATGGGCAACTGCGTACCTCAAGAGATTCTCCAATGCAGAGAATTACGCTAAGGCCGCCGTCAATGGCAGCTTTTGTCTTGCGAGCAACGAACTAGACTCCCATGAATTAGTCAAAAGAAACTTCTTCGAGAAAAGAAATAGTAGCTACTATTCACCACCTTCTGGGGCAAGGTACAGCACGTCCTGGA